CTGTGGGGAACTGCTCTGGGTCCAGACTGCCCCATCTCACTGGCATGGGCAGCAGGGGAAAGCGCCTACTGGAGCTTCGGTGCTAGTGTCATCCCTCCCCTACTCTCCCCGCTGTCAAATTCGGTCCTCTTAGGCAGTCTCTAGAGGGCTGGGGCTGGCCGGAGAAGACTCCAAGTCAATGGGTTTTAGTCTGTGGTGTTCCATGAGAATGAGGCCGCTTGGCTCCCTGGCTTCAGCTCCCTTCCCACAGGAGTGGACGAACTCTACTACCCTGTGGAAGCCCCCAGAGCTGGAGTACGCAAATACTCCTGTGTCTCAGTGCCTTCTCACTTAGCCGCCCACCTGAGACGCCACCATGGGTCTCCGAAGCTTTGTGCTTGGGACCCAAGGCTCTAGGTGGTATGGGCTCGGGGGTAACCTCCTGATCTGCAGATTGCAAGGATCAGGAAAAGCTGTGGTTTTCCGGGAGAGGAGGCATAATAATCCCTCACACTCTCCTTTGGGTAGGGGAGGAAGTTCCCTTTGCCCTGTGCAGCTCCAGGGTGGGTCATCGCTCCACCCTGCTTTTCCTCACTCTCTGTGGGTTGTGCCAACCACCTAGTCAGTCCCAAAGAGAACCTTGGTACCTCAATTGAAGATGCAGAGTTCACCTACGTTTTTCATCCTTTTCAGTGGACGCTGCAGAGTAGAGCTGTTTCTATTCAGCCATCTTGGCTGCTCCCCCCTTTCTCTGGCACTGTTTCTTCTTTTACCCCTTTTCCCTTAGGTTTATTTTGTTACTCTTTTATTTTTGTGCTGGATGCTCACATAATTTATTATCTTTTTAATAATGATTGAAAGCTACGATCTTCCTATGAATACATTTAGCCATGTTTAATGGGTTCCTGAAAGTAATTTTAAAACAATCGGCCTGGCGCGGTGGCTCACGCCTGTAATCCCAGCACTTTGGGAGGCCTAGTGGGTGGATCACGAGGTCAAGAGATCCAGACCATCCTGACCAACATGGTGAAACGCCATCTCTACTAAAAATACAAAAATTAGCCGGGCATGGTGGCATGTGCCTGTGGTCCCAGCTACTTGGGAGGCTGAGGCAGAAGAATCGCTTGAACCCAGGAGACGGAGGTTGCAGTGAGCCAACTGCACTCCAGCCTGGCGACAGAGCAAGACTCCGTCTCAAAAACAATTTTTTTTTTTAATCTAAAGATTCTGATAGAATGGGTAAGGAATGTAGAATTTAAAAATGTAGAGAGTGTGTCAGTTGCAGTCGTATTCTCCGAGTTCTGTCTCTCTGCCAACGCCGCCAGATGGCCTCCCAAAACCGCGACCCAGCCGCCACTAGCGTTGCTGTTGCCCGTAAAGGAGCCGAGCCGAGCAGGAGAGCTGCCCGGGGGCCCCATGGGCAAAAGGCTACAGCAGGAGCTGAGGACCCTAATGATGTCTGGCGATAAAGGGATTTCGGCCTTCCCTGAATCAGACAACCTTTTCAAATGGGTAGGGACCATCCATGGAGCAGCTAGAATGGTATATGAAGACCTGAGGTATAAGGTCTCGCTAGAGTTCCCCAGTGGCTAACCTTACAATGCGCCCACGGTGAAGTTCCTCACACCCTGCTACCACCCCAATGTGGACACCCAGGGTAACATATGCCTGGACATCCTCAAGGACAAGTGGTCTTCCTTGTATGAAGTCAGGACCATTCTGCTCTCCATCCAGAGCCTGCTAGGAGAACCCAACATCGGTAGTCCCTTGAACATTCATGCTGCCGAGCTCTGGAGAAAATCCACAGCTTTTAAGAAGTACCTGCAGGAAACCTACTCAAAGCAGGTCACCAGCCAGGAGCCCTGATCCAGGCTGCCCAGCCTGTCTTGTGTCATCTTTTTCATTTTTCCTTAGGTGGTCTGTCCTTTTTGTGGTTTCTGTACAGGACTCTGTATCTTGAGCTGTGGTATTATTTTTGTTTTGTTTTGTCTTTTAAATTAAGCCTCGATTGAGCCCTTGCGATGTATATTAAATAAATGCATTTTAGTCATTAAAAAAAAATGTAGACTGCATTAGAAGACTAATGCAAGGTAATTTCCTCCCTATACATCAAGTGCTTCTTTTAAATTCAGAAGCTTGTGTAATTAATGATGAGAAATTTGGAAAACAGATATGTAAGACACTAAATTATTCAATAAGTACTGCTATTATATTTGAACTTGAACACTATAAGTACAAGTTGGAAATTTATACATAACATTTCACACAGCTGGACGTGATTAGCTCAGTGTCCACAGTCGTCTTAGAAGACTGACAGGAGCAAGAAGCGGGCTTAGCATGGGCATCTTACTCACACCCATCTGCAGCATCACTGACCTATATGCACTCTCCCTACTTCACCAACCACAATAACTAGAAACTAGACAGTTTCTCACCACATTTTATCATTCAGTAATTTGCAGTTACATTTGGGGAAGGATTTAAAATGCAATTATTCTTTAAGAGTCAGAAGAATTGGCTGGGCCTGGTGGCTCACGCCTACAATCCCAGCACTTTGAGAGGCCTAGGTGGGTGGATCATGAGGTCAAGAGATCGGGACCATCCTGGTCAACATGGTGAAATCCCGTCTCTACTAAAAATACAAAAATTAGCCGGGCATGGGGGTGTACGCCTGTAGTCCCAGCTACTCGGGAGGCTGAGGTGGGAGAATTGCTTGATCCCAGGAGGCGGAGGTTGCGGTGAGCCAAGATCACATCATTGCACTCCAGCCTGGGTAACAAGAGCGAAACTCCATCTAAAAAAAAAAAAGAGTCAGAACAATTAAATTGGACTCAGGCCAGAGTCTGATGAAGTATGATAAATCACACAAACCAGATTATATGCTATGAATTCTAGCCAACAGAAGCAGAATACACTGAAAATAATTTTAAAATATCTGACTTGAACGTTTCATTTTTGTTTTTTATTTTTAATTAACAATGATAGTGTATATTTATGGAGTGAATGTGGTTTGTACATATTATAAAAAGATCCTACCAAGCTAATTAACACATCTCTTACCTCACCACCTTAGCACAGTTTTGTGGTGAGAATGTTAAAAAAATAATTCTTTTAGAAATTTTGAAATATACAATAAATTATTATTAACTGAACTTGGAGTTTTTATAACAGCAAAGATAAGTTTATAACTTAAGGGATTGACCCAGAGTCACAAAACTTATGTTAGAGCTGGTACTACAACCAACTTCAGTACACAGCATATTTCATGCACACTGATTTGTGTTGTAAATGTGTTATTTATTTCTAACAATCAGCCCCTTATGAAAGTATACTGAAATTATTCATTGTTGGTTAAAGGACACTGAGAAGTAAGCAAACACCTTCATTTTTTTAAAATTGTAATTTAGGTTCTGGGTTACATGTGCAGATCATGCAGGATTGTTGCATAGGCACATAAATGGCATGGTGATTTACTGCCTTCATCCCCTCATCACCTATATCTGGTATTTCTCCCCTCATTATCCCTCCCCATCCTCCCCACCCAGCTGTCCCTCCCCTACTGACTGCACTGTGTGATGCTCCCTTCCCTGTGTCCACGTGTTCTAATTGTTCAACACCTGCTTATGAGTGATAACATAAGGTGTTTGGTTTTCTGTTTTTGTGTCAGTTTGCTGAGAATGATGGTTTCCAGATTCATCCATGTCCCTATGAAGGACACAAACTCATTGCTTTTTACACCTTCATGTTTTATAATACAATATTGCTTTGACCCAATTTTTTTCTCTCATAGTTTATAAGTATATATGGGATCTGAACTACTTTTCAAAGAATCTGTGTGTGTAAACTCTACTATTAAAACAGCAGCATTGTTACCCCTGTATGTATTGTGAAACCTTACTTTAAATGACAATGTAAGAGCCATGATTAGCCTACATTTCCTATATTTCCCTATAGTGTATTAACAGCAATAAACATCAGTTTTCAAAAAAATCTGAAATCTACACCATGAACAGGATTTCAATTACATTTAAAAGGTAATTTTCTAAAAGATCAGCCAAATGGATTTGAGGGCCCATGGCAAATTTTATAGTCATGACCTCCATTCACTAGTGGGGTGTTATTTGTTGAAATAATCTAAAAGTCTTATATGTAACTTTCCATAAATGAATCACAGGTAGAACAAAGAAATAAAAATGACATAAAAAATTATTTGTGAGTACAGCAAAATTACTGTCTTCTATTAAGAATAAGGGAAAAGGGGTGAAGACAAATGAATGGGCATTGTTGTGAGTCATATTCTGGAAATCTGTTCACAATAAACCACTAAAATAATCCACAGCTTAAATTATGGAAATATTTTGCTTAAACATATTCTATCTGGAAGAAATGATTATTTCTCCTGTTAATCTTAGGAACTTGGTCTTTTGAGTTTCCTCACCTTTTAAAGGTGGTTACCTTTAAAAGTGACTTAAATAATTATAGTAAACCGTGTACAGGTATGTCAGTACCCTTAATTTTCCAGCTCTTACCAATTTGACCACACAAAAAAATGTAAATCAAAGAAAAAAATGACCATCATTCATTGAGCTCCTTTCCAGAGTCTGTCCTGTTCTCTGAACTAGATCTATGCCTGTGCCAGCAATGAGCTATCTTATAGTATATAATTTTGAGTATTAAGCATTTTAAGCAAAATCATTCACTTTTTCTTACAGCAACACAGGTAGCAGAAAGAACACAATCTCTGGAATGAAACGTGAATTCTGTAGATATCATTTGCATCCTCTTTGGTGAGACACAATGACCTAGCCTCACATTCCTATACAATGGAGCTTTAGTCAGGGTGTTGCAAGGTATGTTGACTTGGCACTCTACACATACTATTGTAAGTTGTTTACACTTTTAATGCAATAATTTTAAAATACAGCAACAATGTTCTAATATCAAATTTAACCAGTGAAATGATGTACAATTTTATGGCTAAAATTAAATAATTTTCTTACATTCGCTAGAGATTAGCTCTGAAAAGTACTGTATTTTCCAAGCACACCAAGTAAGTCTTTAAGAGAAAGGGAAAATTCTTAATGACAAGGGACTGCACATGGCTGCAAGTCCACTTCACTTTCAAGCCAATTTTTAGTAAATGTTTGATATCTTTCTCTAATACTCTCTCTTCTGTTCCTGACCTGTCATAATGCATGATGCATACATAAACCTCCATCCATAGGAATTCTTCTTCCCCTTCTTTTCACCTTGAACCACAGGTGCTTCTTCATCTCCTTCTCTTAAATAGGAAAAATATCCTGACTTTTAGGTGGTGGTGTCTCTTGCTAAGGTTGTTCATCACTGGGCTGCTGGACCTAGGAATATGTGTGTGCAAACTAAAAGTTTTGTTATTAATATATGCCAATAGAGATGACATCAGCAAGATGGTGGAGTAGAAAGTTTCAAGCTCTAACCCCAGCCCACAAAAAGTTCAAGTAGCAACTATTCACCAAGAAGAACACCTTTATTGAAAACCCCAATAATTGTAATCAAACCCAAGACAACTGTGTGATCCTCAGAACTGAATGAAAATTCAATTTAAAAAAAAGAAAACCAATTTAAAGCCATCAGAATAATAGTCTCACTTCAACTGCACCACCCTTCCACCTCCCCTAAGTTGGCACAATTCCACATGGAGAAGATTTCTATGAGTGTATGGTTGCTACAAGGGGAAAAGAGAACCAGAGGCAGTCATTCAGCTTTCCTAGCATTCTTAGATGCTTCCCAAAAAGCCTACTCTAGTCTCACCTCATGTGAAACACCAAGGGTAATGGGCCCAGGTGGTCAGGGTAAGATAGAAAGAAAGAAAGGAGGCAGAGGTTATGGTGACCAACACATGGATCTTGGTGTACGTCTGTGTTCCTGCTACCTGTTGCACATGATTGGAGACATCAGCCACCTTTACAGCCACCTACAAAGTTGAGTTGGTCACTTTCAGAAGCACAGTGGGAAGGACAACATAGCTTAAATCCCTAGATGGCTAATTTCCATGCCTAGCCTCACAGCCCACTCCAATGACTCACCCTAGCAAGGAGATGCCCACCTCTGACCATCTTGGAGATGCGTATAGACTAGATCTGCCTGACTCACAAGTCTTTACTCAACCAAAATGTCCACCCAAACAGAAAGACCCCCACCTCTGCACATTTCAGAGAAGTGTAGGGGATAGACCTACTTGATCTAGAAGGTCAAAGACCTGTTCAACTCAGCCAAAACCCCACCCCACAGCTCTTCCAGAACAGGGAGGTAATCCTGAATCATGCATTTCATAGAGGCCTATCTTCTGGTCCCATCCATTTTGAGCAGCAACTCTCCCTCACCTCAGAGCCCAGCTGGCAGCCTTGTTCAACTACTCACCCCAAAAAGCAGAACTGCCCAGCCAGAGAATACATCCTGTGACTGACCTGACCAGAAGCCATTGTAGTACCTAGCCAGCAGCTCCACCTAACAATAGTCTCACCAGTGGTGTCATCAGACAGCAGAACCTAGACAGCAGCCCCACCCAACATGAGAGCAGCAATCAGCCAACTAGGGATCTTACAACAAGCTCTGCCTACCCATCACCAGCTAGACCTTCCAGAATCACAGGCTAAAGACTTCAATATCCCACTTTCAATAGTGGACAGATTATCCAGACAGAAAATCAGGAAACATGGGACATGAACAACACTTTAGAGCAAATGGACCCAACAGATATATATGGACCATTCCATCCAACAAAAGAATAAACATTCTTCTCAACTGCACTTGGAACATTCTCCATGATTGATCACAGTAGGACACAGAACAAGACATAGCAAATTTTAGATGACTAATATCTTATCAAGTGTCTTTTCTGACCACAATGGTAGGAAACTACAAATCAATAAAAGTAGGAATTCCAGAAAACTTACACACATGGAAATTAAGCAACATGCTCTTGAATAACCAATGGATCCACAAAGAAATCAAAAGGTAAATTTAAAAAAGTTTGGGAAAAACAAAAGTAAAAATGCAACATATCACCAATGTTTATAAAATACAACAAAAGCAGTTCTAAGAGGAAAGTTGATAGTAATAAATGCCTACATCAAAAAGAGGAAAGGTCCCCAAAATAACTTCGTATTTTTTTCAAGAAAAAAGAACAAATTAAACCCAAAGTTAGCAGAACAAAAGATATAACAAAGATTATATCAGAAATAAATGAAATACAAACTAAAAAGCAATACAAAAGATCTATGAAACTAAGTGTTGGCTTTTTGAAAAGATAAACAAAACCAACAAAACTTCAGATAAACTACCAAAGAAAAGAAGTGAGACAACTCAAATAAATCAAAAGTAAAAGAGACATTGCAGCTGATAAGAAATGAATAAATTCCTAGACACATATTATTTACAAAGACTGAATCATGAAGAAATAGGAAATCTGAACAACACAATAATAAGTAAAGATTAATCAGTCATAAAAATTCCTCTCATCAAAGAAAAGCACAGGAACTGATGACTTCACTGTTGAATTCTATCAAACATTTGAAGAATGAATACCAATATTTCTCAAACTCTTCCAAGAAATAAAAGAAAATATTTTCAAACTGTTTTTATGAGACCAGCACTACGCTGCTACCAAAGCTAGACAAGGACATTACAAAAAAAGTAATTAACTAACATAGATGCAAAAATCCTCAGGAAAACAGTAGCAAACCAAATTCTACAACACATTAAAAGATCATCCACTGTGATCAAGTGAGATTTATCCCTGGGCTTGAAGGATGATTAAACATATGCAGATCAGTAAATGTGTTACTTCATATCACATAACAGAATAAAGGACAAAAACTACATCACCACATTATGAGATGCAGAAAATAATTTGACAAAATTCAACATTTTTTCATGATAAGAACTCTCATCGAATTATGTGTAGAAGGAATGTACATCAGTACAAGAAAGGCCATAGAGAAAAGGTCCATGGCAAACATTACACTCCATGGTGAAAAATCCTTCCCCTAAGATCTGGAAGACGATAAGAATGCTTACTCTAGCCACTTCTATTCAACATAGTAGTGGGAAGACTCGACAGGGTAATTACATAGGAGAAAGACATAGAAAGAATCCACATTGAAAAAGTAGATGATAAATTGTCATCGTTTGCTCATGACATAATCTTATATATGGTAAACCTTAAAGGTGCTACCAAAATCTGTTAGAAGTAATAAATGAATACACTATAAAGTTGTGGGATACAAAGTCAACATGCAAAAATCAGTAGCATTTCTATACACTAACCATTAACTATCTGAAAAAGAAAATGAGAACAATCCTGTTTACAATAGCAACAACAAAAAATACTTAGGAATAAGTTTAACCAATGAGATGAGAGACCTGTACAATGAAAACTATAAAAACACTAATGAAAACAATTGAAAAAGACACAAACTATGGAAAGATATCCATAATTCATGGATTACACAAATTAAAATTGTTAAAATGTTTATACTACCCAAGGTGACCCACAGAGTCAATGCAATCCCTGCCAAAATTTCAATGTTTTTATTCAAGGAAATAGAAAAAAATCCTAAAATTCACAGGGAACTACTAAAAAGACTAGATGGCCAAGGCAATCATTAGCAAAAAGAACAAAGCTGGAGGCATCATTGTACCTGACTTCAAACTATATTACAAAGCTATAGTAAATAAAATAGTATTGCACTGGCAAAAAACAGATACACTGACCAGTGGAGCAGAATAGACAGCCCAGAACTGAACTTATACATGTACAGTCAGTTGATTTTTTAAACAAAGTTGCCAAAAATACACAAATAAGAAAAGGATAGTTCCTTCAACAAATGGTGTGAAAACTGGATATCCACATGCAGATAAATGTGAAACTGGGCCCTTATCTCACGTGAGATACAAAAGTCAACTGAGAGTGGATTAAAAATGTAAGACCTAAAACTGCAAAACTACTAGAAGAAAACATAGTGGAAAAAACTAAAAAGCATGGTCTAGGCCATGATTCTTTGCATTTGACTGCAAAAGTGTAGGCAACAAAAGTAAAAAGAAATAAATGAGATCACATAAAATTAAAAAGCTTCCGCACAGCAAAGGAAACACGAGTATAAAGAAACAACCTGCTGATTGGGAGAAAAAATTTGAAAACCATACATACAATAAGGGGTTAATATTCAAAATATATCAGGAATTCAAACAATTAAATATCAAGAAAAAAGTCTTAAAAATGAGCAAGAAGGTTGAATAGACATTTCCCAAAAGAAGACATACAAATGACCAACAGTTAAATATTTTAAATGCTCAATATCACTCATCATTAGTAAAATGCAAATTAAAACCACAATGAGATATTATCTCACACATGTCAGGATGACTATTATCAAAAAGATGACAAGTGCTGGCAAGAATGTGGTAAAATGGGAACCCTTGTACATTGCTGACAAGAATATAAATTAGTACAGTCATTATGGAAAACAGTAGGAATTTTCTCAACAAACTAAAAGTCAATAAACCATATGAACCAGCAATCCCCCTTTTTGAAATTTGCCCAAAAAATCTGAAATCAGTTTGTTGAAGAGATGTCTGCACTGCCATGTTCACTGCCGTACCATTCACCATAGACAAGTTATGAAATCAACCTAAGTATCCATGAACAGATAAGTGGATAAATAAAATATAGCATATATACCCAATGGAATATTATTCAGCCTTAAAAAAGAAAAAAATTATGTCATTTTCAACAACATGGATAGAACTGAAGAACATTACACTAAGTGAAATATGTCAGACATAGAAAGACAAATAGTGCATGATCTCATTTATATGTGGAATCTAAAACAATGGAACTCACATAAACAGAGAGTAGAATGGTGGTTAGAGTCTGCGAGGGTTGGGGGAATGAAGAGACAATGGTCAAAGAGTACAAAATCTCAGATAGATGGAAAGGGAAGTTTTTTGATATCTATTGCACAGCATGGGAAATACAGTAAATAAAGGTGTATTGTACATTTCAAAGTAGCTGAGTTAATTTCAAATATTCTCACCACCAAAATGGATAAGTAGTTGAAGTGATTGATATGTTAATTCACTTAATAATTGCACATTTTATTCATAAATCATAACATCATTTTATACCATATAAATATATTTTATAAATTCTCAATTTACAATAAAATATATATGCCAATAATAAAAATATATACAACACATATCTATATCTAATCATAAATAAGTTCAATGACATTTTCCCAATATTATTTTATATTCATACTCTTAACAAAGTTACTCCTCCCACAAAGGAGGAGTAAAGATAGCAAGAAAAGTT